TTGAAGGTAGAAACTTGAGAGAGAGGGTGGCGGGGAGGCGTCCTTCTGGGACCACAGCAGGCGTCAGCCCTGGACTGGAAATTATGAGCGTGTCCTGCACAATTAGTTGTGAAAGATCTCAGGGAACGTCCCAGGGGTTGTCAGACCTTGCTCTTTCCATTTTCAATGTATCCATGTAAAGCTTTGAGGAAGCCCAAATTATTAAAATACTCCTTTTCTCTCTGTCTTCTTAGGTGTCCTTTCTGGTAACTAGAGGCCCAGACATGCCCACAGCATTTCTCTTGAAGCTTTTGTACTTTGGTATATGCTTCCACTAAACTGAAGCCATGGTGAGAAAGTTCAGCTCTGTTAAATATTTTGAAATGTAAATGAAAAGAACTACTGTATATTAAAAGTTGGTTTGAACCAACTTTCTAGCTGCTGTTGAAGAATATATTGTCAGAAACACAAGGCTTGATTCGGTTCCCAGGACAGTGAACGCAGTAATACTACAGAAATCAAGCCATTGATTTTGGGGAACAGAAGATTTCATAACTTTAGAAATACGGGTTTTGACTTAACTCACAGAAGAACTCATAAGCGTTTGCTGACAGAAGAATGGCCTAGTCGATCCTCTCAACATGGACACAGCAAACTCAGCACAGTCATGAAGCCTCAGGTCCTGGAGGACACGGATTAGGGTTCTGAACTGTAAGGAAGCAGGAGAAGTTGACTTGGTCACCTTCGCCCATCTCATTACCTCACTGGTCTGTGGACAGCAGCAACAACCTTTGTAAGATGGGCCAAAATGGGTGGGAAAGGTCTGTCTTCTGCCTCACCCGTGATGCTGCACCGTACACACTTCAAGACCGGAGCCACTCGGAGGGGAGTTTCTTCAGATCACCGGGCAGCCTCGGCTGAGCAGATACACGGAGCGGATCACAGAGCAGTAGGAGGCCCACACTGGCCTCCTCCAGCATGGTTCTGGGATGTTTTCAGTGAGGTCTGAACGCTCTGTGTTTAGAGCGAGGCCTTGGAATACAGGAATGCTGTCATGGAGGTGTTGACACAGAGGGGGAAGGTCTAGTACATGTTGGGAATTAGGAGCAAAAGAAATATTAAACTAAATGCACAAAATATAAAGTGTAGCCATGTCTAGACACCATGTTGTATCTGAATAATTTTTGTGCCAATAAATGACATCAGAATTTTAAAAACATGTATATGAGTGGCTTTTTTTTCCCTTGCGGTATGCGGGCCTCTCACTGTTGTGGCCTCTCCCGTTGCCGGACGTGCAGGCTCAGCGGCTCACGGGCCCAGCTGCTCTGCGGCATGCGGGATCTTCCCGGACCCGGGCACGAACCCGTGTCCCCTGCGTCGGCAGGCGGACTCTCAACCACCGCGCCACCAGGGAAGCCCAGGAGTGGCTTTTTATTCCTACTTATTAGTTCATAAAGGAAGCAGTTACTTCTTCAACATTCACTGACACTGAGTACTGGGACTGTGCAGGACAAGGGTCTACGTGACGTGGTCTCCACCCTTGGCTTGTTCACAGCCAGACGAGGTAGAGCCAGCATCTCAGGAGCGGACTGATAAAGCCACCGGGCTGCATGGTGAGGAAAGCCACGTGCAGGGCGCTAGCCTTGGGTGGGGTCACTGATTCCACTGGGCGAACCAGGAAAGCCTCACAGAAAAGGGGGGACACTTGCCAAGGGTCTTAAAGGAGGAGTGGGAGATGAAGCAGGTGAGGACGCTCTCAGCAGAAAAGAAGTATGAAAGCACAATATTGTGCAGGAATGGCAAGTGTTAACTTGAACCATATTAGGTTGTAGATATTCGGCCATTTTTATATGTGAAACAGCAGTTTCACACACTTGGACCTCATGGTTCAGCATGTCTGGCTCAGTGGTCAGTGGGAAATAAAAGTAATAATAGGAAAATTAATAATAGGAACTAAAAAGAGGCTAGAAAGTAGAACCAGGCCAGACTGGCCTGCCTCGCAGTTCAGCGGCAAGAAGTTTGAACCTGATGCTGTGGACAACAGGGAGGGAACCACGTGAAGTTTTAAAACAGAGAAACAGAACCTGAGTAGTGTTTTTAAGAGAAACTGGTATCAAACAGGTGGAAAGAAAATTAAAAGCTAGTAAGGCCTAGTAAAACTGTTGGAGAGGAAGGAACTTGAATATGGAACTGGCAAGTACTAGATACAGATTCCTCTGAAGAGAAAGCATGCCTACAGAGTTCTTCCAAAGAATATTGTTTTTAGTTGTTGAACTAAATTTCTTGTTCTAAATTCCTGTGGGCCATAGCTACTCAGTAAGAAATACTGAATCATAAAAGCTATTTAAGGAACTTGTAAAATGGACCTAGAGATTATCATACTAAGTGAAGTAAGTCAGGGACAAATACCATATGATATTACTTATATGTGGAATCTAAAGTACAACACAGGGACTTCCCTGGTGGTCCAGTGGGTAAGACTCCAAGCTCCCAATGCAGTGGGCCCGGGTTCCATCCCTGGTCGGGGAACTAGATCCCACATGCGTGCCGCAACTGAGTCCACACGCCGCAATGAAGATCCCAAGTGCCACAACTAAGACCTGGCACGGCCAAAAATAAATATTTAAAAAATAAAATACAACACAAACGAACATATCTACAAAACTGACACAGACTCACAGACTCACTCTGTTCATAGCGAAAAGACTTGTTTGCCAAGGAGGAGGAGAGGTGGGAGAGGGAAGGATTGGGAGTTCGGGATTAACAGATGCAAAGTATTATGTATAGAATGGATAAACAACAAGGTCCTACTGTATAGCATGGGGAACTATGTTCAATAACCTGTGATAAACCATAATGGAAAAGAATATATATATGTATAACTAAATCACTGCTGTACAGCAGAAGTTAACACATTGTAAATCAACTCTGCTTCAATAAAATTTTTTTTTTAATTTGTAATAGGGGGAGCAAGAGAATTATAAGGCCAGGAACCATATCTTGTGGGAATTCACATCCCCCAAATCTGCCAGAAGATCAGGCCCACGGTAGTGCTCCATAAACATTTGTTGGAGGACTCCTCTATTAAAAACAAAGATGAAATTCCCTGGTGGTCCAGTGGTTAGGACTCTGCCCTTCCACTGCAGGGGGACACGGGTTCAATCCCTGATCAGGGAACTAAGATCCTGCATGCCACATGAGGCCAAAAACAAACAAAAGATGGATTTAAATCTCAACAGTGATAAAACAGTTTTAACCCTCACAGCTAGAAAGTCTCATACCTTCAGATTTTCTGTAACTATCCTAAGCTATGTATCAACTATTTTGTTCCTGAAAATATGATCAGATTCTATATGAAATAACTATCAATGACTACAGCGATACCATTCACAAAAGATAAAGTCCATGGGAAATAACGGACTCAGGAAAATGGTGGCCATCAGTGGTAAGGACATATTCCTTAGGGCATGAGAGTCCTTGGGATTAAGATGTTTGGTGAATCCAATGGGTTTTTTTGTTGTGTTTTGTTTTTTCTTTTTGGCCACACAACCTGCAGGATCTTAGTTCCCTGACCAGGGATTGAACCCATGCCCCCTGCAGTGGAGGTGCAGAGTCCTAATCGCTGGACTGCCAGGGAATCCCTCCAATGGGTTTTAAGTTATACCTAAGCAAAACCTCTGACTTTGTTGAAATGAGTTACCAGAGGAAGGTGAGGTGCTAACGGAGGCCTTAAAAGACAGTCTAATTCCCCTATCAATCCAGGATAGTTTCATATAAGCTGTGTGAAGGGAGGGCCTTAAATCTCTTGGAGGCAGGTAAAGCAATAAGAGTCAAGGCTGTGGTATCAAATTACCTAGTTTCAAATCTCAACTCCACCTCATCCTATCTGTGTGACTTTGGATAAGTTACTTAATCTCTGTGTTTGTTTCCTCCATTGAAAATATGGATCTATCCCAGAAGGTTGTTTCGAGGATGAGCTAATCCATGTAAAGCACTCAGCACAGCCTAGGTTGAACTATATGAATTAAGTGCTCAAAATATTAGTTGTAAAAATGAACTAGGCTAGCCTAGGCCTTTGTTCGGCCAGGGTACCTGTGTACCTGAGGTACACAAATGGGGGGCAGGGAGAATGAAAAACAAGCATTCTGTTAATAAGATATTCTGATTAACAGCTAACATGGGAATTTCCTGCAGTCAAGTGGTTAGGACTCCAGCGCTTTCACTGCTGCGGCCCGGGTTCAGTCCCTGGTTGGGGAACTAAGATTCTGCCAGCCGTGAGGTGCAGCCCAAAACAAAAGATAACAGCTAACATTTACTAAGCCAAACAAATTGTATTAAGGGTGTGCCACTCCTGATCTTAGGAAAGAGGACACACCCTACCAGGTTTCCCAAATCCACCCCTGAGCTGCCCAATACTGCCAACCTCCTAACAAGAGCTCTTCCAGGCATTCATATAAGAAATGTTTGAGTTCACACTAAGTGCCTTAAGACGTGGATGGGAGGAACCTTTGATTGGAGGTGTTCCAGAGAATTGGAGGTAACTACAGTAGGAACATATAGATGCCTTTTCTAATAGTTTACCTATAAAGGGCAAGAGGAATGTTACAGTGGCTGGAAGGAAGTGTGGGGTGGAGTGTTGTTTTCTAGACTGTCTTTTATTTGGGAGAGATGCCAGCATACTTGTAGTTTGTTAGGGATGAACCAGCAGCGAGGGAAAAGACAGATGACGCCAGAGAGGGGATAACTGCAGGAGTCAAATCAAGTGAGTGAGGGGGGCACGGAACCAGAGCCTGGGAGGAGCAGGCTTTAAATATAAGAATAATTGGGTCCTCCAGGTCTTACCGTAAATCACTGGGTTGCTGTCATGAAATAATACGAGGTTAACGAAAAACGTCAAACTCCCTGGGTGGGATACTCAGCTGATACCGCCCCAACTCAAGAACAGCCTTCGCACATGCGCAGTGCGTGCACGTCGCGTTGGCTGAGGCACTCTCGCGAGAAAAGCCGTGCAAGCCGGAAAAATGGCGCTTTCCAGTCCCCGAGAGTCCAAGGCCCAGTCGGCGACAAGCGCTACCAAGTCTGACGGGGAGATGGTGCTGCCCGGCTTCCCCGATGCAGATAGCTTCGTGAAGGTGAGTTCGTGAGGCCTCGGGGGTACAGGGAGCCGCCCGCGGCTGACCGGAATCAGGCGCGGATCCTTTCGGAGGCCGCCCACGCGGCAGCGGAGCCTCGGGCGGGGGTCTAGGGGCCGCTGCCCGCTCCGGGCAGTCTTCATCCTCCGGGGATGGGGCCTCGCACGCTGACACCCGGGGACGCCACACTCCCCAGGGTCCTTGATTTCCCGTTTGAGCCCATGCAGTCCCGAGTATGGAGAGCCGTCTTCGCCTCGTAGGAAGGGCTTTCTGGTCACCCTGATGTCCCCAGCCTTCGCGACCCCGACCCCGCCCAGGTCTGAGCCACCCGACCAACTCTACAGAGAGACTTGGCTGCTTTACGCCTCCCGCGGCCGGGATGGCCCTTCTTCCCTCTCCTGAAGGCCAATCCTACATAATCCCAAACCCTGGGTTTAATGTCACCTGTTACAGCTGCCACCGAGTGTCCCTCCTGGAGGTGCCATAGAACATTTATCAATGCTTCCTCGAAGGAACATAGAGTTCATTTAGATTATTTGTCTATTGGTGCTTAAATATGAACAAACAAACCTGGGATTAAACACCTCATGCATAGGTCTTCCAAGACCATGAAACTAAAATAGTTTGTAAGTTAGCACTACAGATCCTCCAAAACTCCACTCACATTATATCTAATTTATCATTAGCAGATGTTGTTATTAATTCATTTATTTGGTTCTAAATAGTTCCTGGTCCACTAGCCATGGTCCTGATTGGGTGGCTCAGCGCTACCACGTACCCCACCATGATTCAAGTTCCCATCTTTCTCTCTCTCTCTTTTTTTTTTTTCTTGGAAAACATTTATTACACAACTCACAGTAATGTCAGTTGGCCTTGATATGACCAACTGTCATTAACCTATGACAGCCACTTCAGGTGTTTTCTCATTATCACACAACAGTTAAAATAGAGACCTACTTGGTACTAACTGAGCCATAAACACTAGTCCAGTTGTGGACAGTAGCCATTCTAAATTGCTCATCCAAAAGATCTAGAATATTCTTATATTGTCTTTTTTTTGTTTGCCGCACCATATGGCTCATGCCGCACCACGTGCCTCGTGCCCCTTGCAGTGGAAGCGTAGAGTCTTAACCACTGGACCGCCAGGGAAGTCCCTTATACTTTTTTTTATTATTATTATTTTTGGCTGCGTTGGGTCTTCATTGCTGCACGCGGGCTTTCTCTAGTTGCGGTGAGCGCGGGCTGCTCTTGGTTGTGGTGCGCGGGCTTCTCGTTGCAGTGACTTCTCTTGTTGTGGAGCATGGGCTGTGGGCGCAGGGGCTTCAGTGGTTGTGGCACACAGGCTCTAGAGCACAGGCTCAGTAGTTGTGGCGCACGGGCTTAGTTGCTCTGCGGCATGTGGGATCTTCCCGGACCGGGGCACGAACCCGTGTCCCCTGCATTGGTAGGCGGACTCTCAGCCACTGCGCCACCAGGGAAGCCCCTTTTTTTTTTTTTTTAATAATGAGAGATTACATCTATTTATTTATTTACTTTTTTGGCTGCCTTGGGTCTTCGTTGCTGCACACAGGCTTTCTCTAGTTGCGGTGAGCGGGGGCTACTCTTTGTTGTGGTGCGCGGGCTTCTCATTGCAGTGGCCTCTCTTGTTGCGGAGCATGGGCTCTAGGCACACAGGCTTCAGTAGTTGTGGCACGCGGGCTCAGTAGTTGTGGCTTGTGGGCTCTAGAGCGCAGGCTCAGTAGTTGTGGCACACAGGCTTAGTTGCTCCGCGGCATGTGGGATCTTCCCGGACCAGGGCTTGAACCCGTGTCCCCTGCATCGGCAGGCAGATGCTTAACCACTGCGCCACCAGGGAAGTCCCCGTTATGCCTATTTTTCAAAGGCGGAACTAAGGTTCAAATAAATAAAATAACTTGCCCAAGGTCACAGTCAATAGGTAGTAGAGCCAAGGCTCAAACCCAGGCTGTTTTGAATATTAGTCATATTATATATGTATTTGTTCTTTCTCTCCCTACTCTCCCAAGAATGTAAGCTCCAAAACTTGGTTTCATGTTCACTGTTGTATCATAAGGGCTTGGTGTAAAATCGGCAGTAAATGAATATTTGTTGGATGCATGAAGGTCTTCATCATCTAACACAATTCATTATATATAGTAGATCTTGAAAATAAATGAGTTGCTGAATGAATGGTGATCCGTGTCTAAAACATGCTTGTTTTTCTGGTTTTTGACAGTTTGCTCTTGGGGCAGTGGTGGCAGTCACCAAGGCATCTGGGGGCCTACCACAGTTTGGTGATGAGTATGATTTTTACCGAAGTTTTCCTGGCTTCCAGGCATTTTGTGAAACACAGGGAGACAGGTTGCTTCAGTGGTAAGTACTGTATATTGGTTTCTCATGTTGAAAGAAAAGACTATAAAGAAGTAGATGATTTTTCCTGAAATTTGTTTTTTTCCTACCCTAATTTTCTGTGCTTTAGAGCTATAAAATGTAAAAATGAGACAGTGGGAAATGTTAATTAGGGAAATGTTACTTGGTAAATTTTGAGTTTTACTTCTAAAATATATATATTGACTATTACAGCTATAGACAATGAATCTTTTTTAATTAATATGGGACTTGAAAACCTAGATCCAAGATTCTCTCACACAACTTGGAAAGTCACAAGTATTAGCTTTCTTTTTCTTTTTTTTTAATCTATTTTCTTTTTTAGTAATAGCTTTCTAATAAGTGTATTAGGACAGGCATTACACAAACATTGATTTTGTTTAACTGTTGCATGACAGAATTAGAGAATCTGTTTTAGATTTCATGTTAAAACAATGAATGCAGAGTACATTATTTACATAGTGTTGTATATATTTTTTTAGAATTTAAAGAAAGCTTTGGGATAGTTTCTTCCACCCCCTCAAATAATAGATGAGAAAAATAAGTCTTAGTGAGATTCAGTGAATTGCCCAGTGCCATACAACTAGCAATGTTTTTTGCTAAAGGGTGCAGGTTTTATTAGTTTGATCAAAAAGTATTGGGAATAGTCTAAGCCAAGCCTTGGGAGCTTTCTCCTAGATTGTAAACAAATGAATAAAAGTATACAACCTGATTTTGGTTTTCCTATCCTTTCTAGCATGAGTAGGGTAATGCAGTACCATGGATGTCGAAGCAACATTAAGGATCAGAATAAAGTGACTGAGCTGGAGGACAAGTTTGATTTGCTAGTTGATGCCAATGATGTTATTCTGGAA